TATACAGGAAAAAAAAAACATACTTTCAACTATTGATTGAAATCACTGATTATAAATGAAAAGATGGATCACATTACACCACACACTAAAAGGTCTGTGACCAATGAATCCTGTAGAATATATACAAAATATACAGGAATATACAAAGTGTTTGTGAATGTCTTAGTGTGCTAAAGCCCCACAGTTATGAAAGTTAGGAAAGAAAATGTTAAACTCCACAGCGTTACCAGCACATCTGATTTTCCTCAGCTCCCCTCCTCAGTATGCAGTGTGTCTTGCAGTCCTGGATCCAGGAAATCCCCTCAGAAGGGAAAAGCAACCTGCTGTTTTGACTGCACTCCTTGCCCAGAGAATGAGATTTCCAACCAGACCGGTAAGTGTTGGCCTGTAGGTGAAAGTCCTCAGATTGCTTAATTTCTCCCATCCGCACTGTGACCTGGAAGAGGTCTGCAAGGGAACTGCAGAGATAACCTCTCTACTGTAATTAACTTACCATGTAATAGATAGAATCAATAATGATGACCCTTGAAAGAATAAAATCCTATGCCATGAACCTCTTCTTTTCTCACTCTAAACTGTGGAAAATACTATTACTTCTAGGAAACCACTTTTGACAATGAAAGTAATGAAAACTGTAAATCCGCCAGGCAAATTAGGGCATAGTGTTGCATGTGCAGACAACTCCTCCCTACTGAAACTGCATATAGATCAGACTCAATGTGGGAGTCTTACATTTACTTTCTTCTCAGGCTCCAGCAAGGTTCTTGACACAGAGCAGATTCTCAGAGATGGGTTCAGCTCTATATGTATTTTGTGGCAGCAAAATCTATGGCTGTGCACACCCTCCATGTGTAGGTTTTACTTGTTCTCTAGTTCACAGGTAGTGCCGAAGGGGAAATAAATGCATGCAACGAGTGATACATGATAAAATAAGCGATGATATCTGTATTTGTGGATGGTACCATTAATATGAGGAAAGTCATATTATTTATAGCTTACAAGAAAACTAAATGAGTGAACGTGATTAGTAGTATTTATAGAAGGGACCAAATACTACAATTTTCAAATTTATGTAATATCCAGAGCCCATAAAATGTTTAGAGGTACTTGAACATAAGGAAGATTAGGGTGCTTGTTTTGGCAAATGTGTAGAAACAGAAGAAAAAAATTAAACATATCTTTGACTTAGTATACAGTGAATGATGCAAAGATGTAGATGTTTAAAGAACATATGAGCTTGTTACAAGACAGAAATGGAATAATTTTACAGGAAAGCAGAAGGAAGGGCAATTTGAGGCGAGAAAGCAGCTAGCAAAACGGATTGGATGAGGGAGGACAGTGTGAGAGGCTGATGCGAACAAATCATGAGGCTATATCTGTGTGAAATGCCAAAATGAAATGTATTATATTCCATCCTAAGAAATAACTATAAACCATAAAAATTACAATGACTACAGCATTGTGTCAACTTCAATCTCAGCACCTGGGGACAGAGACAGGTAGATATCTCTGAGGTCAAGGCAAGAGTAGAGCACATAGGGAGTTCTAGGGCAGCCAAGCCTGTATAGTGAGACACTGTCTCAAAAAATTATTGTGTTCTCAGAAAATGTAACAAAGTGTAATTAGATTTGCTCATATATTTAGAAGATCCTACTATAAATATGAGAGACTTAAGTAAATAAACAAAAAGGGTTGTTCTTGACTGGAAAGACCCATTATTGCAAAGATTACTCTTCAAGTTTATCTAATGCTTCCAGACAATTTCACACAGAATTCTAATGCATACCTAGGTGGAAAGGAAAACTTACAATGGTAGGATTACTCCCCATTTCAAATATTATGTGTCATATCTGTTTTCTGGGAATTTGGCAAATTATTTTGACCATTCTGTATTCTCAATGCACACTTTATCCTTGAGTATGTTACCTACCCTGCCTTAGCTTGTTGAGGTAGAATTTAGTGACACAGGCAAATGATGGGTACTTCCAGAAATATATGTTGAAATAGAAAGCCCAAAATGAACATACGAAGACCATGCTATATGGTGGTGATTATGTCATTAGGTCTCAAACTTCATTAAGATTAGTTTACATGATTGAAGAAGGGCTATTTGTGTGTTTCTAATGTCTTGTGAATCTAAAACCATGGGGCATTATTTTGAGGCAAACCAACTTTACCTGAGAATCAAGTAACTATGTGATCCTGATGTGTAGAGTCTATAGACTGTGAATAATAATTAAGGCTACAGTGAATTATCCAGTTTGTAATCCATTCCTTTCACACACATATTTTAATTTTCACTAAGGTATACATTAAAAGTCTGAATTCAATTGTATTGAATCTTTAGACAAATTTGAAGACATATCTTTACAATAGTAGGTCATTTTATCAAGGACATAACCTTTTTCATTGCTTATTTTAATTGATATGTATAAAAATTAGAAAGGGTGAAGACAACATTGAGATTTTTCCATGCAAGAGTGACTCTTACATTTCATTGTAATCACTAAGCTATCACTAATTCACAGTAACTATCTGGTAACTAGTATAAGGTATTTCATGAATGTAGTAAGGGAACTGATGTTTATCCTTGTAAGGTAATAAAGATATCATGAATATGTAACATAGGTGAAAATAAGAAAAAAAATTTGCTTACTTCACTCACTAAGGTATTACATGTTACAAGTTTGGGGGGGCAGTTCTGCTGTACAGTAAATGTTCTTCATTGCCATCCACAGCAACACAGCATCCACAGCATGCATCACACATATCTGAGTAGTTCTAACAAGGAGAGAAATGCTAAAGCTGTATTGATTATGCTTTCCTTTCTGTATCAGATATGGACCAGTGTGTACAATGTCCAGATGACCAGTATGCCAACGTAAAGCAAAACCACTGCATTCACAAATCTGTGATGTATCTGGCTTATGAAGACCCCCTGGGGATGTCTCTGACCTGCATGGCCTTGTTCTTAACTGCACTCGCAGTTGTTATGCTTGGAGTTTTTGTGAAACACCGAGACACTCCCATTGTGAAGGCCAATAACAGGACTCTCAGCTACATCCTGCTCCTCTCCCTCATCTTCTGTTTTCTCTGCTCCTTGCTCTTCATTGGCCATCCCAACACAATCACCTGCGTCCTGCAGCAGACCACGTTTGGGCTTGCATTCACGGTGGCTGTTTCCACTGTCTTGGCAAAAACTCTTACTGTGGTTCTGGCCTTCAAGGTCACTGTTCCAGGAAGAAGGCTGAGGGGCTTGCTGGTATCAGGGGCACCCAGCTACATCATTCCCATCTGCACCCTGATCCAGCTTATTCTCTGTGGAGTCTGGATGGGAACTTCTCCTCCTTTTATTGTCATTGATCCACAATCTGAGCTAGAACACATCACCATTGTGTGTAACAAAGGGTCAGTCACTGTCTTCTACTGTGTCCTGGGATACCTGGGCTCTCTGGCCTTGGGAGCCTTCACTGTGGCTTTCATGGCCAGAAACCTGCCTGACACATTCAATGAAGCCAAGTTCCTGACCTTCAGCATGCTGGTGTTTTGCAGTGTCTGGGTCACTTTCCTCCCTGTCTACCACAGCACCAAGGGGAAGGCCATGGTGGCCGTGGAGGTCTTCTCCATCTTGGCCTCCAGTGCAGGCCTCCTTGGCTGCATCTTTGCCCCCAAATGTTTCATCATTTTATTAAGATCAGATCAAAATTCTCTTCAAAATTTCAGGATGAAGACACGTAGCACCAGTCTGATTTCTTAAGTTTTAGTTGGTGCCTATACAAAAGTGGAAGACCTGAAGACAGCAGTATGCCATTCTCAGCAGCAAATACTGGAGTATAATGTGAGGATTACACTGACAAATGACTCTTATCTTTCCGTGGAAACCACGGAAAGTGGAACCACTACAATCTCAGGCAATATCTTTCAAACTTTAGATGAAATTATCAGGCAGTTGGCCCAGGGTGTAGGAACACATATCGGCTGGACCCCCATTGTCTTGGGAACAGGTCAGAATGTTCCAGAGTGCACCTGCTAACTGCAGATTTAGGCATCTGTAGGTTATGCTTGGCTTGCTTCTACAAAGTAGTAACTGTTACTTATTAGAATAGAAATTGTTAAGGGAGCTCTCCACCTGTAAGCTTTGGAACTTAAACTTTTCACCCCTCGTTATAGTTTATCTCTATCAAATCTTTACCCTAGCCAGGTGTGGTGGCACACGCCGGTAGTCCCAGCACCTGGGAGGCAGAGGTAGGCAGATCTCTGCGAGTTCAAGGCCAGCCTGGTGTACATAGTGAGTTCCAGGCTAGCTGAGGCTATAGAGAGAGACACTGTTTCAAAAAGACAAAAAAAAAAGTTTACCCTAGAGATGACTTTGTGCTACACACTTGGGTTCTGACACCCTCGTGTAGTTGCCGTCACCAATAACAACTTTCATTTGGCAAAACTTTGTCTGAATGGTCTTATCTGGTGAAGCACCCCACAACATTTGGAGGTTCCATCAGGATCCCAGAGAATTAGACCTCAGACCCGAAGGACAAGAGCAGGGAAGTAGTGTGGGCCTAGGCCGACTCTTAGAGGGGGTATTCCTTGAGACGGTCCAAGGCCTCTGGATTTCTGCTCCCCTGTTGCCCTGCTGTTCTGTTGGTTTTTTATATCCCCACCCTAAAAGATTTTTGATGAAAGTCATTTGTTCTGAAAGCCTCCAGAGGTGAGTCAGAGTCTGGGGTGCCCTTGGAAAGACACTTAGAGGGGAGGATGGATGCAGCTGCTGACCCCAGTGTCCTGGGAGCCGAGCAAGATGTTGCTGGCTGTCCTGTACCTGGTGAATGAATGGTTTGTGTCATGGCCATCATGTGAGTGCTTTGTTGTAGTGTGTGTTTGTTCTGGTCTCCTTTGTTGTTTGTTTCTGTTGATCTGTCACCTACGAGGGGCAGTGAGTTGACTCCTCTGAAATGTGTGCTTCAATCTTCAAATGACAATCAGCCTGTCATTGATGGGGGGGAGCAGTTGACTCCTCTGAAATATATATTTAAGTATGTTAGAGATGGTTCCATCCATCCATGTCTGAGTTGCTGCCCGCATTTGGGTTCAGCACAAAAAAAGAAAAAAGGGGCTCCACTGCTGCACTGGTTCCTCTGCTGCCTGGGGTCTGGTTGGGGAGGGAAGTGGCAGTGGGATGCTGGACCTGGCTTTGAGGAGCAGGTCGCAGGGCACCCATGGCAGAGTGCCTCGGTGCTGCCAACAGGGCCCTGCCCGATTCCTAGGGACTGATGGCTCGGGCTGGTGCTCAGAACCAAGAGCACCCAGAAAGCCAGAGTGGTGTCTGGTGCTTCTCTGCTAGCCTGGAGTCGGCCTGGGAAGAGTAACACACAGGAGTGATGCCATAGCAAAGGGCTGTGGCCCTACAGAGGGTATCTTTCTGCCCACTGCCCTACCCGCCCCCCGGCACCCAAGGAAGGTGATTGTCCCCCTGCCCAAATGGACAGCTTTAGGGGAGCTGGTCTTTTCCACTTGTGGCCCCTCAGGCAGAATGGCCCTGTCTGTGGGTGGGTCCCCACCTGGCACAACAGGCTCAAGCCTAGGTTGGGCTCCACCTGTGGAGAGATGGGGCAGCACCCACTGAGGTAGCATTCCTTCTTCCCCTGAGGGAGGTACCATTGATGTGTGAAAGAAAGCTCCCAAAAGAACTCCTGGACCTTGGACTGAACTTCCTGAAATGCTCACCAACTGATTAGCACTCCCGAGACTGTGGAGAGTCTGAAATGTTGCAGATCTGGAGCCTAGTCACAGATTTTCTGGGGATGTCTTTAACCCCATAAATAGCCCAACATTGCCTACTTTTCTTTCTGAATTAACATTCTTGTGACTAATAAAATGTATTTACTTAGCAGACCACCAGCTCTCATCAATCAAAACACTAAGACTGCCATCAGATAGCAACTGAGACTTATAGTAGAAACCCCCTCACTTTGCCATGACCTCCCTACTAAATGTATTCACCAGTATATTTGAAAAGTGTCTTGATTTATGACTTTTCTTTGTTCTGTTACTATAAAAACGTAATGTAACCATTACCACACCATAGCATGAAATCTGGGGTAACCTGAGTCTGTGTTCCCGGGCCTTGGTCACTCATATTTGGCTCCAGAATAAACTATCTCTTTTTTTAAAAGTATTCTTTTATTTTTATTTTATGTGTATGAGTGTATTACCTGCATATATGTGAGTGCACCCAAGTCATGCAATGCCGCGGAGGTCAGAAGAGGGCTTCAGATTCCCCTGGAACTGGAGTTAAGGATGATTCGTAGCCTCCATGTGGATGCTGGGAATTGAACCTGGGTCCTCTGCAAGAGCAGTCAGTGCTCTTAGCCACTGAGCCATCTCTCCAGCCCCAGAATAAACTATCTCTTATCCCCTTTGAGGTGAGTTATGCTTTTGCATCGAGTGTTATGGTACCACACATGGGGCCCCAAGAATTATCCATTTTTCATCAGAGAAGTCACCTGGATGGAGTAGGTACTGGCATGGAGCCACTGAGTCTAACCATTTGACAGTATCTTCTCGGATGGATTGTGGTGAGTTCTTTCAGGGCTTCTCGGAACTCCCTTGGTTTGGTCCACGGTCCATTTGTTTATTCTGTGCAGGTATTTAAGGAACCTATTTATTAGATACTTTTATTGTTTTTGGTTTGCTTTCCAAGGGTTGTTTTAGGTATCTATTTTATTTGTTTCCTCTGAAAGTATTTTGTTTTTGACATTTGGGTTTTTGTTGTTGTTGTTGTGTTGCTTTCAGAAAAACTTCTTAAAGCATGTTTGATTCTAACCTTTTGTTAAAGTTTGCTAGCAGTAATTTTTTTTCTTTCCTTTTTTTTTCTCTGAACACATATCTAATCCAGGAAATGGAGAAATATATTGAGAAAAACAGATATTTTGTATTCCAGCTGCTTTTAGGGTTAATTAGCATTTTCCTTTAACTTACAAATGTAGGAAAATGTAAAAATCCAACTTAAGGTAGTCTGCCAATTTTAAGGTTCCTATTTTAGATGTTTGCTTGTGTGCTTTCAAAGTGTTTGCTTTAAAGTATCCATTTTTGTTTGCTTTAGAAGCAATTTGTTTCTGATTGTTTGGTTTGTTTTTAGTATTGGTGGCTTCTAGAACTTTGAAGGCATGTTGGTTTTTGATTGTTGTCTGTGGCGGTTCTGTTTGTTTTTGAAATGTTTTGATTTAGTAGGCCTTTGTCTCCAGACACTTCTCCAATACCTAGATTTGCATTTTTGGTTTTTGTCCTGTGATTTCTTCTGGCTTCATACAAACTTCCTACCTTTAGCTTAGGAATACTATGAGTGCCTGATCATAAAGGTACCAAAGACAAGAGGCCCTGTCCCCTCTACTCTTACAAAGTGGAGGTGTCAGGGGAAACTCCCCAGGATGAGTAACAGCCTCATAAGGAAACCCGATAAACACACCCTATTCCTGGGTCAGAAGGAACTTTATTAGCTCACCCAGGAAGACATACATAAGGGTTGATCACCCAGTGTGTTGAGAACCCTCGCATTTCCAACAGTGTGCAGGAAGTCCCCTCTGAGAGACCTAAGACCCCGATTCTGTCCAACATAAGGGGGATCTGGACAACTATTGTCAAGTCCTTTAAGAGGGAATAAGGCAAACACTAGGAGGCCCACAAATCTTTCTAAGGTGAGTGAGGTGACTCAGAAACCTCAAAAATTATCTGCTGGGTTCTTGGAGTGTTTAGAGAGTATTATTGGGATGCTCCAGAAAACTAACAGATGGTAGTTTATCTACAAACACTTCCTCCTTTTTGGAAAATTTGTTTCATTTATTTATTTTCTCCTGAAAAATTGCAAGCCTTTTTATGCTAGCTAGGGAATATGTGTTTTGGATCTGAAATGTGGCCATAAATATTGCCCTTTGTCACCCAGTTGGCCCCAGGCATTAGAAAATGTTACAGAAACTACAAGGGTTCGAGGACATAGATAACAGTTATTAAAAATTACCAAATTACCGAGGACAATGATAGCAACTTTCAAAAAGATAAATAACAGGAAACCTAGAGGAGAAGACTGGAGACAACAACAAAAAACTAAAAAAGGCACTAAAAGGATAAGAGCCACCACCTCTTTTGGGGAAACGAAGGCAAGTCTTTCTTTAGGCTCAGATCTGACCTGAGATAGGATTCTGGTGACTTACCCCTTGTCTGAAGAATATCTCCCACAGCCAGAACAAACTGTTAACAAAGATATCCAGCCTCGAAGATATTTACAGGACCTGCAACAACTGTTCCCTAATGTATGGACTGAGAATATCCTCCCCAGGTCTGGCAAGTAAGGGAATTCCTGGGGGCATTCGACTATTGTTGCCTATGGACTTTTAGTTTTGCTGAAGTAACAAATCCTATGTATACCAGCCTTAAAAAGAACCAACCCCTAGAATGGACTGACACAAAACAAGGAGTCTTATTCTCTTCCAGATTCTAAGCCATTCCACTTGTTTGTGGATGATGTCGGGGGCATTGCCAAGGAAGGTCTAACCCAAACTTTGAGGCTATGAAAATCATGTACCAGCTGGATGGCCAGCCTGTAAAAGAAACTGATAAGCTGTCTTGGGGTAAGAACTTTCCTTAACTACTCCTCACCCAGTTGAACTCTCCTGAGGAGAACTCCAGAGAGATGGATGTCACATACCCCAAATGACTCATTACTGGACACTCTTCCTAAATCAACCCTGTATAAGGTTTTACAGG